TGTTTTGACCTTTGATTACTGGGATAGTTGTCTGAATTGCCATAAAGCTAATAGTAGAAAATGGCACGTGCAGCAATCTGAGAACTGCTTAAAGGTAGATGTTTGTACCTGGAAAAGGTTGTGGGGGTGACCTACGACATGGCCTAGTTAGGATCCTCCTGACTTTATTTCCCCATTGTGCTATTTCTTTTCTGGAAAAGGAAAATTCCCAGTCTGGTTAATTCTGAGCCTTATCTTTAACATTCTGTGACTAAATGATTGGCTGTCAGATTCTTGCCTGGAATCAAACAGAGCTAAGGGAGTTTCTCCCTATGTTATCATTGTATCCTTCTTTTTCCTTTTATAGCAAATTTCTATAATCAAGAAGTTTTGTAAGTTTAATACTAAATCTATTAAATGATATATTGATATGGGAACGTGTCTAAGTTACTATAATAGGATGCAAGTATGAACATCTTCCAATTTTAACCTGTATTTGTGGTCAAATTATAATATAGGGATGTAATCCTCCCAAGGGAGAAATGATTAAACAAAGGGCAAAGGACAAAGACGTAATGTAAAAACATTTTCTAATTAAGTGGAATGGTAAATTTTTAAAAAAGGCAGCAGGATTAGATTGTTATCTCTAAAGAACTATAGAGGAGAGGATTCTGGGAAGATGGCAAAGTAGGTCAGAAAATTCCAAGCTCTCAAGATTTTCCCCACAAAAGAGATAAAACAGCACATCAGGGTGAACATAGAATGGTAAAAATAAATAAGAGCAGGGGCAGAACAGGGGTCCTTCTGGGACAATTGGAGAAGATCTGAAAAAAAATCCCAGGATGAGGTTTGGTCTCTGTGAAGAGTAAACATCTCCAGGCTAGGGTCTGCGGAAAGAACAAGTGGCAAGCCTTGGGGTTAGCTGTGTTGGAAGGCTGCCCCATCCCCAGCCACAAAAACTTTTATTCCCCAGAACAGAAAAGGGAGTTGAGCTTCTGAGCTGTAGAAGACTTGAGGGAACCTCAAGTTTCTTGTCAGAAACTCCAGACCCAGCTGTACTGCAAAGAGTTGGCCAGTGGCTAGAAGGAACCATGCCTGGTGAGTACAGAAGCAGTGGGTGGAGACTGCACTGGCTGGTGGCACTTACAGGAGGCTGAAGATCTTGGTTCAGGTTCCAAGCCAAAGAGGAGAACTAAAGGAGGATCTGAGGCCAGACGTACTATCCCCTATACCCTAGGATAGAGATGAGTACAAAAAATGAAGCTACTACCAAAACAAAAAAATGCATAGGTAAAGGAGAAAGCATTCAACCATAGAGAGTTACTATGGAAATAGAGAAGCCTGGAGTTTGTCTTCAGAAGAGGATACTGAAGTAAAGAAACCCTCTTCTACCCTAAAGAGTAATGTCAAATAGTCACCTACCCCAAAAGAATTCATAGAAGAACTTTAAAAAGACTTTAAAAATCAAATGAGAGAGATTGAGGAAAAACTAAAAAAAAAAAAAGAACAATCCAAGAAAAACAAAAAGATTATGAAAAGAAAGTCAAACAACTAGAAAAGGAGATCCAGAATCTTTTTAAAATTTTAAAATTTATTTTTATTTTTTGAGATCCAGAATCTTAAGGAAGAAAACAACTCCTTGAAAATTAGAATTAAGTAAGGGGAAACCAGCAAAGTTATATGAGATTAAGAAATAATAAAACAAAATATAAAGAATAAAAAAAGAAGAGAAAGTGAAACATTTTATAGCAAAAACAACTGATCTGGAGAACAGATCTAGAAGAGAAAATGTAAGAATAATCAGACTACCTGCAAGTTATGATGAAAAATGATCTTGGTATACAAATACAAGAAATAATTAAAGAAAATTGTCCTGAAGCATCAGAACAAGAGGGGGAAGTAGGAATAGAAAAAAAAATCCACCAATAACCACCTGAAAGAGGTCCTATGAGGAAAACCCACAAGAATATTATAGTCAAATTCTGAAACTCCTAGCTCAATGAGAAAATATTAAGCACAAGAAGAAAAAAAAATTAAGTATGGTGGTGCCACAATTAGAGTCATACAAGACCTAGCAGTGGTGACACTAAAAAACTGCAGGTCTTGGAACACTATATATCAAAGAGCAAAAGAACTGGGGTTCTGGTCTAAAATATCATACTCAGCAGAGCCAAGCATAATCCTGAATGAAAAAAAAATGGACATTTGATGAATTGTCAGGCTTTTAGGATTTTGTATTGAAAAAAACCCTCTGAACTCAATAGAAGATTTGACATACAAGAGCCAAGAGAAATATAAGATACATATCAAAGACTAATAAAGGATTCAATGAGGAGAGACTGTTTACCTTTTATGTATGTAAAATGTAAAACATGTCTCAGACTGTTACTAGTAATTGGGTAGCTTGTAAGAAAGATTGGGGTAGATCTCAGTATGATATGACTTTAAAAAGTAAAACTGTTTAGGAACAGCTAAAATGAATAATTATCTTACGTAAGTGAAGTGTGAGAGGGAGAACCAACACAGAGGAATTAGATGGGGGAGGAAGGCTGTTAGTTCTGGTAACCTACTTTTATTGGAAATGGGATCAAGAGGGAACAATACATATACATCTAGAAGAGTATAAAAGTCTTCTAAATTCAGAAATAAGTAAAACACTAATGGGATAGAGAGGGAGAAGAACATAAGGGAGGGATCTCAAGAGGGAAGGGTGAAGGAATAGGTTAAGGGGGGTATAGAAGGGTTTTTAGATGAATGGGAATGGGAGAATAAGGGAAGGATCCTTCAGAAGATAAGGGAGGGATTTTTAGAAGGCAGAGTGAGGGAACTGGTCAAAGGTGGGGTATACAAAGGGGTTTAGAAAAAAAGAAAGGGGTTTAGATTTATGGGAATGTGAGGTTAAGGAGGGATCCTCAGAGGTGGGGTAGGTTAAGTAATTGGAAGGCAAGGTAGCAGGCAGGAGTGGAGTAGAAGAGTCAAGAGGGATAGGAAATAAGATACGCACAAACTTAAAACAAAGATCAGGGGTAGATTTTGTTAGGGAAAGTATATGCTTATATATATATTAAAGTATATGCTTAATATATATATATATATATATATTTAATATATATATTAAACATATGTATGTGTACATATGTACATATCTAGATCGATCTATCTATCATCTATCTATCTATCTAATATCTATCTATCTATCTATCTATCTATCTATCTATCTATCTATCTATCTATACATCCTTGCTTAATCGTAGCCTTCTTAATTGTATCAGGGGAAGGGGAAAAAGAACAAAGTAAAAAATGCACAGTAGAAAAAAAAAGAAAACTTACAAGGAAGAAAAGATGGATCGCTTTCCACACAACACAGTATTTATTACATAGGCTTTCTTGAAATGGAAATTTGTTGCTTTATATTTTGAATCCTCTCTTATGTTCAGCCATGTACATGACTTTTTTTCTTTTCTTATTTTATATTTAAGTTTGTAGTATGTTTCTTTTTCTTTTTTTATGTATTTAAGTTTTAGAAAAATAAAATTTAAATGAAAAAAGAAAGAAAACTATATACAGGTGTAAATGATTGGCTTACAAAGTTTACCATGAAAATTCAGGCTTTGAGTTTTAGTTTTATGTGTAGTAATATGTTTTGGTAATAAGTTCTCAAAATTGGATTGAGGATTTCTTAATTAAAGATCCATTGGATTTTACACAAAAATTGCATTGATAATGGTAGAGAAAGTTAAATTATTTCCCATTTTGTATCTGTCTGATAATCTTAAAGAACAGAAGAGTTCATTTTCAGTTGGACTCCCATCAATTTTTAAAAGACTTTTGTATCAGGTATAGGATTTAGGTCAAATGATATATAAACTGAAATTCTCTGAAGTTTCAAAATTGGAGAACCAAACTATATTAAGTCAGAATTATATAGGAACCTTTAGATTTGGAACCAGAACTCCTTTTAGAATTGTCCTGAGAATAATGATGTTAACGTATAAGTTTTCTTGGTTACCTTGGTGACATGTACATTGCCCTTTTCAGAACTAGTCCATCATGAGCCCTCTCAGTAATTTGATCTGTACATAACTTAATGTAATTATGTAGTTGTGGGAATTATGAGAAAAATTTTATTGCATTGTTTAATTCTGGATCATGTGAAGCAAGTCTCTGCTCCTGAGCGGACAGACCCAGCTTACAGAGCCGACATCCGGGTGAGATACTTGCACCGATTCCTGAGCCTACCGTCTTAGTTTTTTATCTCTCTCTTTTTGTTATGTACCCAACTGCCAAGGTTGTGATTCAAGCCTGTGTGGGCTTACTGTGACATTCTTGCCCCCCATGCCACTCAAACAGTGGTTAGTAATTATACCTGGGACACATTTCCCCCATAGATCCACTCAAGGAACTAACCCCTGGGCAATATTCCATGATATATACACGCCTCTCCTTTATTAGCCATAAGGGTAGGGGTTCTTTCAGATCCCTTCCCCTTGGTTGATAGGGGGAAATCTCAAAATATTTTGGAGATAACCTGTTTTCCAGAGCTAAGGCCTAACAAAGAGGCTCTCCCCTGAGCTTGGCATAACAATAATCCTTTGTGCTCAGGATGATATCACCCTCTGGCAGAGTCTATTGCTTGGACCAACATCAGGTGTTCGTGGAGGGATTTAGCTCCCACTATTTCCCAAGGCCATGCATTACATGTTCATAATTACTGACAGGTACTGTACTCCTGTTCCTGCCACAGAGCTGTGTTTCTATACCAGGCAGGGTGACCACGATCCCTAAGACTTGAGACAATGACTAAATGTTCCCACAGGACCCAAGAATGCTTGTGTTGTCCCCAAAAATGCCAACCGTAAGAACTATCTCAAGATCTAAGAATGATTGCGTTGTGGGCCAACCGGGCTCCAGCCTTAGCTTGGCCCCTCCTTCTTGGGAGGGGGCTACCATATGCGTATGTCATTTTCCTCACTTTGAAATTAATTAAACTTCTGTTTGTGTCTTGGCTCTCCTGTCTCTAGGCTGCTCTGTTTCTTTGACTCCAGCCATTCACAGGTTAGAGGCCGGTCCTAATCCAGTTGACACTTTGGAGAGAGAGAACCCACATGGATGTTTTCTCAGATTCATCCCCTGAAGTGTGCCAGAAAGAAGAATCTATCTTACATTTGTGAGAAATTGGCCACTTAATCTCTTTCAATTATTTAATAATGATTAATTATTGTTCAAACCCTGTAGATCAGAGCTTTTTAACCTATTTAGAGTCATAAATCCCACTTTTGGCATCTCAGAATTATGTTTTTAAATAATTGAAGGAAATGCTTAATTTCAGTTAGAATTTAGAGAAAATAAAGATGGAATTTGTTTTTTCCTGTCCAAGTTCATGGGCCAATTGAAATCTATCCAAGGACCAGTCCCAGGTTAAGAATCTCTACTTTATTGGAAGGGAAGCAGAAGGTCCTAGAAATGATTTTCAGATATCCAAATTCCTATTTAACTTTTGCTAATCAAAATTCACTCAGCTTCATGCTCCCGTCCTGCCCTCACTTCCAGTAAGCATTCATTACCATTCACTCTCATGTCTATGCTTTCTTTGGTGACTATTGCATCTTGGTTAATGAAAAATGGCTAATATAATTGATTAAGTAGGAGATTTAAGACAGGGAATAGATCTGTGATTTCATTGGTTTAGCAGACTCCAGGATAATGAAACTCCCTCTACCAATGTAGGTTAATACCTTCCCCATAACTTATATTCTTAGAGAATTGCCTAGAACACAGCTAAATGATTTACACAGTCAAATATGTCAGAAGTGGGGCTTGAACTTGATCTTTCTGGCTTCAAGATCAGCTCTCTATTCAACTGTCTCTCACAAGCAAGTAGCAAGTTTAATGAACAGAAGCCTTGACCTTGTCTGTTGTTCAGCTGTTTTTCCTGTCTGACTCTTCCTGACCCCATTTGGGGTTTTCTTGGCAGAGTTACTGAAGTGGTTTGTCATTTCCTTTTCCAGCTCTTTTTACAGTGAGGAAACTGGGGCAAACAGGGTTAAGTGGTTTGCTCAGGGTCACACAGCTATTAAGTGTCTGAGGCCAGATTTGGACTTAGGAAGATGAGTCTTCCTGATTCTAGGCCTGGCACTCTATCCACTGTGCCACCCAGCTGCCCTTGATAATTAAGTATTCAGAAAAAATTGGGCCAATATATCTTACTGGGAAAATGAATGTATATTGTTTGCAGAGCATTGTATCACTTGCTTTACAAGTATGGGTGTTCAGGCTTTTCTCTCACCAGTTTGGGAGAAAGGAAGATTGATATTTACCAAACAAGAGATTATTTAATGAAGTAACTGTTAATTGTAAAGTAAGTAGATACGTGTCTTTGAGAGTACCAACCTGATAGTCTTTGAGATCCATTTTTTACATTTTTACATTGTCTCTGTTTTTTTCTCCCAAAGAACAGTAGCTAATGATGATGATCATGGTAGAGCTCAAGGTTTTACAATAAAGTTGAAGAGATTTTTTTTTCAGAGAATAAAAACATCAGATTTGGAGCTCTTTACTATCTGTCACTGCCCTAGCTTTTCAGACTTTCCATTTCCTCCAAGGCTTAATTCATGTGTCACCTTCTATAGGAAGCTTTTCCTCACCTCCATGGTTGTTGGGGCCCCATGTCTTTCCCTCCTGACATTCTCCTGTATTTACTTATGTATATACATGTTGTATATTCCCAGTTGTGCGAAAGCTCCTTGAGGGCAGAGACTTTTCTATTTTTAAATGTCTTTTTATGTTCTCTAGTGCTTTGCACATAGAGGTGCTTAATAACATTTCTCAATTTGGATTGAATTGCACACAATATCTCTTTTGGTAGTGCCCTGGAAGATGGCCCTGGACTTCATGCTATGCATATGGTGGGAGGTGTGACTCCTGCCTGGCTGAAAGAATGCTGACCCCAACACTGTTTAATGATAAAGAACTTACATCAGTTGGTTACAGAAAGAGGACCTCAAGGGAGGCAATCTAAAGAGAGAAGACATGAACTCTTGAATGATGGGAAAACATACATACACAAGACTAAAACCTCTAAGTCCTCATTTCCTGAGACAGGGATTCCCATTGAGTTCTTAATCATTAGGAGATAATCATAAATAACAACTTTACCTTAATTCAAACCTCTCCAGCCTTTGGTGGATCAACTCCCACCTCCTCAATACACAAGGGAGCATTAATCGTCCAGGCAATGGCTGCCCTGCACGTGATAACCTGTAAAATTAATAAAATAGAACAAGATTCTGATATAAGCTAGAATTATGTTTGATATATCTTTTACTAAAGGCATGCTGGCTCTCTCTCTTGGTATCTTTTCAAACTGAGGATGGTTTTCTAACCTGCGCATTTTGGACAAATAGAAAAATAAAGACGTGAAGGAAGGAAACAGGAAGTTGTGAAGTGCCTGCTATGTACCAAGTACTGTACCAAATGCTTTACAAATATTCTCTCATTTGATCCTCACAACAACCCTAGGAGGTAGGTGCTATTATTATCCTCATTTTACACCTGAGGAAACTGAGGCAGGCAGAGGCTACCATGATTTGAATTCAGGTCTTTCTGACTCCAGGTCCATCACTCTATCCATTGTACAGTTGAAAGTAGCCGAGGTATGTGATTTAGAGCATAGATTCCTTTCCACACTTGCTGATGGAAGGATTTTGTGCAGGGTGCTGGTTTATCAGTTGGGTCCTCCATACATTTCCACAATTTTTGTGCATTGGAAAGAGTAAGAAGTGTGGCATCTGAAGACCTGATTTCATACCCTGCCTCTACCATTTGTAAATTAGATTACCTTGAACAAGTCACTCACCTCAGGCTCATTTCTTCTGGGAAATGGAAATACTAATCTCTCACAACAGGATTGTTGAGAGCCTCAAAGAAATAATGTGTGCAGAAATGTGTTTGTCAATTCTAATGTGCTATAAGAATGTGAATTGTTTCTTTCACTAAGTGTTCAAGGGAGCAGAATTGAGAATTGAGAGTCTAAACTTTTATAGGATGATTGCTAGTTCTCATCCCATTCCAAAATTGAGAAGATGGGAATGTATCATCCTATTACAGTCATAAAAATATAGGTGTTATCTTTCAATTGGGACAAGTAATCCACTAAAAATGGCCAGAATTTTATATTCCCTTCATTTTATTGAAGGGTAGGACCACTTGTGATCTTTTTTCCTCCTTGGGATCTCATTTTCTTCTAACAGTAAAGGTCATTCCCAAGCTTGGTGATGCCTAATAAATGTCTTACTGGCCCTTGAAATAATAATATCTGGGGAAGTTTGGTGAGAGTGGGTGGACCTGTGATTTTACCAATGTAGGCAATTCCCAGTGTGGAAATTCCTTCCACCAATGCAGATCAGCAACTCTCCTGCTATAGATTTAGAACTAGAAGAGACCTTTAGAAGTCACCTAATCCAAACTTTTCATTTTACAGATGAGGAAAGTGAGGCCCAAAGTCCTGAAGCTAGTAAGTGACCGAGCCAGGATTTGACCCCAGGGCCCTCTGATTCCAAACCCAACACTCCTACTCTACCTTGCCTGAAGCCCTGAGAAATGAAGTGATTGTCCTTGGATCCCCCACTAGTATTATGGGAGGGCTTGAACCCAGGTCTTTCTCACTCCAGTCCTAGCACTCTAAGTAGCCTTTCATGATATCAATACAATTTGAGGTGATTAGATTTAAAAACATTATTCAAAGGATTTACCAAATGGTTCCTCTAAATAGCAATAGCTTTTATTGCAACATGATATAATATAATAATATATATACATATATATATATAAAATTATAACAATTTGACTCACAAAAAATGATCAATGCATAAATAAGTCATTCTTGCATGTAACATAATATGATTTTATATGATAAAGTTCTTCAGTTAGTGAGACAACACACTTCTCTGTTCACTTTACCTATAAAACTGAAGTATGAGAATATGTTTCTAGAAATAAACTTTTACTTACCTTGCCAGCAGTTTCCATAGGAAATTTAGCTTGTTTCATCTTTCTACCTCAAAAGTAGCAGAGAAAAATAGAAATCTTCTGACTGTCTTGCTGAGAGGCAACCATTCCCTATATTTATAGCCCTTATAAACATCAAAGCATTTCATTTATTGCATGTTGCATAATTGTATGCTCATTAAAGGAGTGAGAAAATGAAGATGAGGAGATGGTAGAGGAATAAAAGGCATGATAGAGGAGGTGTGTAGACGTTAGAAAAGAGGCGAGGAAGAGGGAGGGACATGGTAGAGATTTTCTAATGCTAATGGAGGGAGAAATAAATGAGGAAAGTTTTTTTTAGATGAAACAAGAGAGGCATTACTGGAAAAAACACTGGTTCTGGAGTCAGAAGACCTTGGTTCAAATCCCACCTCCATTACTCAATACTTGTGTGACCCTAGGAAAATCACCTCAAAGCACCATGCCTCACTTTCCCTTTTTGTAAAATAAGAGGGTTAGGTTCAATGACTGTGGTGATCTCTTGTGGTTCTAGATCTATTATATGACACAAGATGGGAGAAGTAAAGAGTATAGTAAAGAAGGAAAATGAATGAATAGAAAAACATTTATTAAACACAGTGCCAAGTGTCATGCTAAATGGTGGGGATACAATTACAAACGAAATTCCTGCTGTCAAGGAACTTAGGTTCAGTTTTTAAAAAAAATTTTTTGGAGGGGCTCTCTTTTGTTTTTGCATAGTCCACGTTTTCCCCCCAATATCCCTTTCTCCTCACTTCCCAGAGAACATGTGTTGTTGTTTGTTCTTCACTCTCAAAGAGGACCATGACATCAGGAAGGGGATGCCGTGACTTGCAAGTGGATTGGATTTAAGTGAGGGAGGGCTGGGCAAGTCACCAGTCTTATTTTCTCCTCTGGAGCCATCTGGGCCCTGTGGCAAGATATTGATCAGGACAACAGGAGACGACCAGAGAATCACATCTTGTAACAAAGACTTTTTTTTTTGAAAAGGGAAAGAGAAAAAAAAATCAGTAAATCCAATCAATACATAAAAAATTGGATGTTAAAAAATTAAAAAAAATTTTGAATTGGATACTATGTGAAATATTCCATGGACCCCTGTCACTGAAAAGAGGCCAGCTATCTACTTAGAACTCTTCTTTGGGGCCAAGCTTTCTCATTATAATTTTATAACATTCAGTTTTATTTGGTTTATGATTCTTTCTGTTTACATTGTTATAGTCATTGTATACATTGTTTTTCTGTTTCACTTCATTTGGCACCAATTTATGTAAGCCCATACTTTTTTGTATTCATGTTTATTTTTCTTACATCACAGTCATAGTACATTGCATTCACACACCATAAATTATTTAGCCATTTCCCAGTCAATGGGTATCCTCTTTGTTTCTAGAACAAAAAATATTGCTATAATTATTTGATGTAGATGGAGCCTTTCTTTTTGTCTGTGCCCTCTATGAGGTATATCCTTAGCAGTGGAATCTCTAGGTCAAATGGTATGGGCGTTTGAGTCCTTATTTGTATTATTGTAAACTGCTTTCCAGAATGGTTGTATCAATTCATCCTCCACCAAAAAAGTGTTTGGATGTGCGTGTCTTTTGACAATCCCTCCACATTGGCTATTCCTGTTTTCTTGTCACCTTTGTCAGTTTGCTGGTGTGAAGTAAAACCTCAGAGCTGTTTTCATGTGCATTTCCCTTATAATTAGATGTTTGGAGCATTCTCTTTTTCATAAGGTTGTTAATAGTTTTTTTTTAATACTTTCAAAAACTGTTTATCTTTTTTTATGACATTTGTTTGGGAATGACCTTTGGCGTTATACACTTCAGTTGTATGTGTGTGTGTGTACATGTATATTCAAACTCTTTTGAATGTTATTTGATACAAGGATTTTTCTCAGTAGACTGCTTCCCTTCTTATCCAAACTTCATTAATTTTGTTTGTGCAAAAGTTTTTCGGTTTCATGAAACCAAAATTATCTATTTTATAATTTTTAGTTTTTTTTATCCCGTGTTTGGTTAAGAAATCATCCCCTATCCTTAGCTATGGAATGCATATGGTCTGCTTTTCTCCCACTTTTAAAAAAGGTATTGTTAATATTCAGGTCACTTAACCCTTTTGAATCTAATGTGGAATATGATGTAACATGTTACCCCCAGCCTGATTTCTGCCAGACTGCTTTCCAGTTTTCCCAACAGTTCTTAGTAAATAAGGAGTTCCTTCTTAGGCAATTTATGTTTTGGGGTTTATTGAACACTGAATTATTGAGTTCAATGATTTCTGATTTTTCCTTTAGTCTATTTCATTGATTTACTTTTCATTTTTTTTTTTTAAACCAGTACTGTTCTGTAATGTAGTTTGCTCTCTGGTAGTGCTATTCTCTCTTTATTTGTTTCATTATTTCCTTTGATAGTCTAGGTTTTCTGTTCCTCCAAATGAATTTTGTTATTTGTAAATTAATATCGGTAGTATTGCCATTCTAATCATATTGGTACAGCTTAAGCATGAGCTGTTCTAGCTCACAGCATTTCTAGTCAGGGACCTGCCAGTCATAGAGTTGGTCTAGAAGTTCTCTAACATGAGAAACTTTAGCCATATTCCTCATTTCACTTCTGGATCACTTGTCTTTCCTCATTAGAATGTAAAATCTTTGAAAGTAGGGATCAACCTGTTTTCTTGCTTTTGTATTCTGTGTACTTACCACAATGCCTGGCACACAGTGCTTACTAAATTGCTCTATATCTATCTCATCAATTTATATTTCTGGCTATTTGCTTCTTATTTGCTTAAGGATAATTGAATCTGAAGTGAGTCAGCAACCATTTAATTAATTAATTATAGGAGGCAATGGGGTTAAGTCACTTGCCCAGGGTCCCACAGTTAGTAAGTGTCTAATGCCAGCTTTGAACTCAAGTTCTCCTGACTCCAGGGCTGGTGCTTTGTCCACTGAGTCACCTAGCTGCCCCTAATAAGCATTTATTTTAAATGCTTACTATATGCCAGACACTGTGCTAAACTCTGAAGATAGAAAGCAAGGCAAAATATAGTTCCTGCTTTCAAGGAACTAACTTTCTAGTGGGGGAGATAACATTCAAACAACTATGTATTTATAGGACACGCACGATGTAAATGGAAGGTGATCTCATGGGGAAGTCACTATGGGGGTGAGGGAAGGGCCTAAGCCAGGGGTGGGGAACCTGTAGCCTCGAAGCCACATGTGGCCCTCTAGGTCCTCAAGTGTGGCCCTTTGGCTGAATTCAAACTTCACAGAACAAATCCTCTTAATGAAAGGATTTATTCTGTAAAACTTCTTAGGCCTAGAAGTGGGAATTTGAGCTCAGTCTTAAAGCAAATCATGGAATTTTGGAGTCTGAGTTGAGGAAGGTTGTATTGAGT